AACCCTTAATGTTTAACTATGGAAATCACTTAAGGATCTTAGTGATGGCCTCGCCACAAAAAAATAGTGCTAATTATATGTAACACACTAACTCAAAAAAGACTTCTCTGAACATGCTATATATTGCAAACTTTACAGCATTTATTATGTTGTCATTGATGCTATTAAGCCACAACAAAGATAACAAGCTTTAGCACTGTCAGTAAGTTTGTTTTTCCACAAACTTGATGCATTACAAATGCAAGCAATATTCTTAACTGATATTTCTGGAGTAAGGAGACACAATGGGTTAACAAGCCAGTCACCTGAGTCTCACACTCCACTGATACAGAATTCCATTGTACTCATGTCAAATTCACTTAAAATAAAATGAAACATTTTTTACGGCTACTTCACACTGTGAAATGATGCAAATGAAAATAAAGCCTTGGATTTTCACCACAGTATGTTTTTGCTGAGTCCTGACTATACTTAGGTTCACAGAAATTTAGAAGCTACTGAAATTCTACCCATTGAACCTAAGGGAAGAATTCTACTCGCTATTTCAAACCTGTTTTAAGATTTCTGTTTATTTCATGCTGTGGAGCCTAAAACATAGGGGACACTGTAGATTGAGTTTTCACTTAGTTGAATGTTTGAATTTAGAGGTATGCTTAACAATGTTTTTTTTTCTTTTATTTTACTGTTTTGGACTGGAATGGTTTGATTTCTACTTTCTGAGAAGAAAGGCAAATGGACCACTGTGGATATTTCAAAACAATACCCTCATAAATGATGAAAGTTGGGTATCTACAAATGCAACAAAGAAATTAATGATTAGGAACCACATCAGTGATGTAAGTGGTCAGAATGTTGTTTGAAAAACATCATTCCATCTAATCTTTTCTAAAGTTGGGGGAATTATTTCAGATTGTAAATTTTATAGTCTAGCATCCCAAAGATTTTTTTGAGAGTTCTGCCAGTTTTTATGACAGATTAACTTGACATGGAAGGGAAAAATGTTCTTTTACATCGAAAAGGTATAAAAGTAAATTTTAGAATTTTTCATTCATAGGGAATGTGTTTTATCAAAAATTTAAAATAAAAAACCACAACGCAAAACCAAAGACACTCTGTTTTGCAGGAACAATCTGTAGTAAATTTGTTATGCTTCAAGTATGTTACTGGTGGACCTGTTTTATAAATCATTTTGAGCCCTTTCTTGTCCATTGAATTTGGAGTGGATTAAAATGAAGTTTTCCTGAAAATGAAAAGAAATTATGTAATAAATGTTTAGTGACTGTTCTGCACCAGTGAAAGGTGTGGGGGTCTGAAAGATAGGCAGACAGGTTGCAGGTTTCTTTCTAACTTTTAATAAGAATGGTCCAACTATAAATGACCAGACAAAAATGTGAGTCTAATAAGAGAGAATAATAAGAAGAATATATACAACAACTAAATCTTACACACCTTCAGATACTGGGAACCCATTCATGCAGCATTTGTGCAGCATCAGATAGACACTGGATGGATTTTCCCACTTCATGCTGTGCAGATCTGCAGATCCCTCAATGGAGAGAAGTTTCTCCTTTTTGGTCATTTGAACTATTACATAATTGTCCTATGAAAAAACATCTCTATTCATAGAGGATGTTCGCATGAGAACTTCTTGCTTCATTTTTAGATAAAGGCAAGACCATGCAGGTGGCATAATCGCCAGTACCAAGCGAGAGCTGCTTTGAGGCTTGTTATTCTAAGGGTATCTTGTGGCCAAGAAATTTGTGCAGCCCAACACAGCCCGGAAGCTATGCTGGACATGTAGCACACACTTGCACCTATTAAGGTTAGCTTCCTGGTCAGGATCATTACTGTGGCTTAAAATATTTTGGAAAGTAAGATAATCTAAAAATATTCAAGGTAATTGAATATTTATCCTCTAGGTATATTTAACCTCAAGAGAAAAATATGAAAAAGATATAAACAGCAGCATGATTTAGTCAGTGTAACTGAGTCTGAGTGTCCCCTAAAGACAACTTCAGCATAAACAAATAAAATGGATTTAGAACCTTTCTGAAACACCTTCTGCATAAATGCAATTTAATTCACATGAACTGTGAAAGGAGAACCCTTTGATAAGGAAAAATATTATTATAGTTTTATGAAGTTAAATATAAAAAAGTCTAAAAAACTGAATAGTTTTACTGAATACAGCAAGATCAGTAAAGATGGCAATATCTCATCTTAAATTTCAGTAAAACTCCCATAAGACAGGAAACACATGCAAGATTTAGTTTTATAATAAAAAAATCCAATAACTAACTTATACCTTCTTCTACAAGATGAAAATGATATAAAAAATGTCAGATTTTTAGCCTGGATAAAAATGTCAGTGTAGCAGTTTGAATGTGTACATCACTGTCACTATGCCCCTTTTTATTTTATAAAAAACCCTAAGTGATACATCAAGTACACAATAGGGGTAAAAAAATTTATGGTCTAATTTTTCCTTTTTCCTGAGAGATATACACTTATTTTAGATCTCATACTTACACCCTGTCATTTAAGTCAATCCTTGTTTTAATTTTTTTTTTCATTACTAAAAAGAGATTTTTTATTAAGTACTGCCAAACATGGAGTAGCCATATACATTTCTTCATTTAAGGTTATTTATTTAAAAGGAGGATTTCTAACCTGTATATACAGACAGCCATCAAAGAATCTATTTAAGAAGTCATGGCTTATTTTTCATTACAGTTCTCTGGATAAAACCCTTTCAGTGTTAGGCTTTTTAGAGAGAGAAGAAATTGCTGATCAGGAAGGTATTGTTTTGCTTTGGGAGGTATACATATGCTTCACAAAAAGTAACTACTTGAACTAACTCCTCCAAACAGAATGAGGAAGAGTTGTGTTTAAATTATTAGTTTTCTGATATGAACTGGATTTTGGTTATCAAATTGATGTGCATTCCTAGAGTTACTCTAGTCTAATGTTTAATGTTAAGATTCAGATATTACTTACTAAGACATAGTTAAGCTGGAATAACATGACTCAGACAACATGTTCTAGTTCTTAATGGAGTACATGACCTAAAGAGGTAGAAAAGTTAAATATACATCAGTTTATGTCATGTATTTTCCTTCACTGATTTTTTTTATGAAATTTAATAAGCATAAAATCATTAGGGAACAGTTGAAAATAGAGTTTTAATTAAATTAATTTGAAACATATAAAGCTGTATTATTAATTATATCCTTTAAACCCTTTTCTGTATTTAATGATACAGAATTTTTATCTCATATATTTGTTATAGTATTCATTTAACTTTGGGTCTAAGAAGTCTGTAGAACTATGGAGATAAAATTAGGTTTTGACTGAGGTATCCCAGCACATCTATACACTTTGTATCCAATAAAAAATTAAAATTATGCTTTTTTAAACTTTATTTCTAAATGGAACTAAAATATGACAATTATATGTGACTAGTAATACATTATGGTTTTATTCCTTACGGAATACTTAAGCAGGTTTTTTTTCTTAAAGAAAAAGCTTCAAGTTCATATATCTGCTTCTATGTCGTTATTTGTTTTTGTTGTCTACAGAGCTGGATAACATTTCTGTTGTATATGCAAACAAGTATGGCAGCTATGTTTTAAAATATTGATAGATATGTCATCCACATACTTCATTGCAAGATGGAGACCTAAGGAGTTATTAGAGCACAGTGCTGTTTGCTTAGTGGGCTGAAAAAATATACTTGACTTATCTCCTCTTATTTTAATATCTTTGTAAACTTTTGGTTACTAGACTGAAAAGCTCTCCAAAGGAGAAAAAAAGAAGGCAGCAGCAGCAGAAGAAGATTAAAACTAAGAGTTTTATATTAAAAGCTGTAGAACACTGAATTTAAACATATATAATGGCACTGTCACAGAACCTCAACATTAGAATATCAAACATTAATTTTTATTTTTTTTCTTAATTTTTCTACCAGTTCCAAGAGCTCTGTGCTCACAGGCCGATATAACATCATCCATTCATATAGAGAGCTTGGTTTTTAGAATAGAATAGAATAGAATAGAATAGAATAGAATAGAATAGAATAGAATAGAATAGAATAGAATAGAATAGAATAGAATATTTTCAATTAGAAGGGAGCTACAATGATTACCTAGTCCAACTGCCTGACAAATTCAGGGCTTACCAAAAATTAAAGCATATTATTAAAGGTTTTCACCCAGCTTTGTTGCCCTGTTCTGGATGCATTAATGTACCACAATTTCATTCTTAAATTGTGGGGCCCAATTTTTGTTTTCAGTTTTTTATTTTCCCATTTTCTTCTACCTTCTTCATCTCTAAGGCCACTTTAATGGTTATCACCATGATTTCTATCACCCTCTATGTCTTGTCCCAAATTTGTTATATTAAAAAAATAATTTGCTTCTTTGTTTTTCAGCTCATATCTGAATAATCCAGTCACTTAGAGATGGGCAGATGGTCTCAAGGTCTCATTATTTGAGCAGTGCTTTCACATAGGCTTTACCCTTGACAAGTTGCTTGTAAATGTAAATACTTGCCCAATGCTTCTTCATTCAAATTACAGAGATGTTTACCTAATTATCTTCTTAGGACATAAATAGATAACTTTCTCATATCACATCTGTGCCTGAGTACTCTTCAGTTGCAGGTCATGTTCACCTAAATTTATTATTTTATAAGGGAGAAGGCAACCTGTGATATACATACTTAAACTCCTATTATAAAAAATGGAAATCTAGAATGGGATGCAATTGAGTAAACATAGGCATGTCTTTCATTTTAAACCTGCGATGTGTCCTCCTCTAGCTGCCATCTAGACAAGTGCTTCCTAAAGGGAGTTTCCTAAGGTCTTCCTTAGGCCTGCTATGGCATCTCAAACGTTAGCCTTTTTGTGAGGAAGTGAATCATATTCCAAGTCAATACCTAGAATCATAGAATCATAGAATGGTTTGGGTTGGAAGGGACCTTAAAGATCATCTAGTTCCAACTCCTTGCCATGATCAGAGACACTTTCCACTAGATCAGGTTGCTCAAAGCCATATCCAACCTGGCCTTGAACACTTCCAGGAAGGCGGCATCCACAGCCTCTCTTGGTAACCTGTTCCAGTGTCTCAACACACTCACAGTAAAGAATTTCTTTCTTGTATCTAATCTAAATCTAGCCTTCTGTACTTCCAATAAATGCAGTCTTCTGTTTCCACACTGATAGTGTTACACAATTACCAAGTTGGATGGGAGGGTAGGGTTGATTTTGGGTTGTTTTTTTTTTAGCAATTTAGCAATGTTGCTACTGTCACTGGCCTCTCAATATTCATTTTTTTCTGCCTACTTGTCTGAGGAAATTAACAACTTTTATTTCAGAAGCAGATATGCAACATTTATACCAGTCTCCTGCCATACTCTAAAAGCACTTAAATATCTGATTTGCTGTCCCAATGTGAATATTCTTGCTGCAATATCTGGGACAACTCACATACGTAATAATAGGTGGTTTTAAGTACACTATCTAACCAGAATCTATGTCTGTTCAAGCTGATTACAGTAAAGATGTTTGACTTCATAGAGGTCAATTTCAATTTAGCTTAGAACATATGTTTTAGTTTTGGTAGTGGTAAACTTTTCTATTCCTGATCAAAGTTTTCTCATTTATTTTCCCACTTTGGCAGAATTCAGTTTATTTCAGATCACCCAAAGTCATTGGCAGGACTTTTTATTGCTTGAAATGATGGAAGATCATCTCTTATGCCTACTAATGCAATTCACATGTATCTGCAGAAAGTGAGGAGAGTCCATCCTGGATATGAGACTTTAAATTGAACTGAGAGGGCGTTAACATGGTACATCCACTGCTTCACAAAGAAATAACATTGAAAGTTGGAGGTTCAACTGAAGTTGAAAGCTGAAGTGAGATAAACCGTAAAGCAGTATTTTACATTGCATTTGTGAGTGACAATATTGCCCGGGTCCTGTCACTGGAGCTGTTGTTGCAAAGCCCATACAAGCATAACTTCTGGAACTGTTAACAATTTATTATTTTATTTGAGGAAAGATAATTACTAGTGTAAAGCCTATATCACAGCTCTAAATAATCTTTTCTAATATGGAGTTCTGATGCAGAAGTGTTTACATCCATCTGAGCTATAAACTTGGCTTAATTTAGGATCTTTGTTGCTTGGACTAAAAGTATAATCTGAAACCCAAGAAGCTATGTACAAATATCAGTTTATTAGTTGAAGCAGTATTATGCTATTTTCTCACTGCACTGGACTGAAGTAACTGAAGGTATTGTACTGATACTCTGTTTAGCAAATAAAGACTTTTCCATTTCAGTAGTTAGACTACTGTAAATTATCAGCATAAGAGAACTATAGGATCATCCAAGTTGGAAGGGATGTTGGGAAGTCTCTAATCCAACTTCCACTCAAAGGAAGGTCAATACTGAATTCAGCCCAGGTTGCTTAGATCTTTATCCAACTGAGTCTTGAAAATTTCCAAGGCCAATGTTGTCACAGTTCTTCATGCACACATGGAACTTCAGATCCTCCTGTTAATTTCCCAGGCTGTGTTCATTTGTGCACCTGCATTTCAGGTGGGTCACCTTTTAACCTGCTTTATCCTTCCTGAGACCTCACCAACACCCACCAACCTGCCCCATGTACCTTTTTCTTATCTTTCCTCACTTAACTGCAAACTCTTATCACCATCTGATGATACAAATAGTTTAAAGCCTTCATTGCCAGTCTGGTAAGTCCTATTGGCAAGGATGCTCATGCTACACTTTATCAAGTAGATCGCATGTCTTGCTAGCAGTCCTTATTCCTTAGAATTCCCTGTCATAAAAATGAAAGCACTGATTGCGACAACAGCCACGCCCATTTTTTATCTCTCAGAATGAATCCATGCTTACTTGAACCTTTCCTATCATCCATAGGACCAAGGAGAAACCTAACTTTGCCCTCACCGCTCTGTACTCACTCTTGATTGCTCAAGGTCTCCCCTTGGCAGTATTACTGATGCACACATGGATGAGCAAAAAGTCTGAAGGCCACATAAACCTTGTCAGCCTTTATGCAACATTCTGGATCCAAGCCCCAGCAAAGAACAAACCTCCTGTGACAGCCATTCTAGTTGGCAGGTGGGTGCTTTCATCTGCTGCACAACAGTCTCAAAACACTATTGCCTGCTGCTTCTTCTTGGCACTAATGCTTGGTTCAGGCCCAGCTGGATCTGAAGTCTACTTGAGTGAAGTCTGTTCCTTTTCCTTGGCTATCAGTGCAATGTACATATTCTGTAAATTCAGACCTGGAGGCTGAGGTCCCTTTCTTTTGTTGCTAGAGAACACAAGTTCCCATCCATTCCTATACTGGGAATGTCCATTCACATTCATACAAGTGTAGTCTTTCATTGTTCCTCCTTTGCATTTTGTAGTTCAACCTTTTGCCTCTGCAGTCTCCATGAAGATCACACAAGCTTCCTATTCATCCTCCCTGATGCTACAGAGTCTGATTGCCTCCCCCTACAAGTGAGGCCACCATCACTCTTACTCCACTCTGCCCCAGGTAAAACAACAGACACAAGCCCTGGGAAGCATCATCCTCCATCCGACACTCTGATCCATGGCGTCCAATGTGTCAGGGTGCTTCCTCCACCCAAAGCTGAGCACTGACTGTGGTAAGGACACTACCACTGCAGTAGAGTGCCACACTCTCTGGAACAGAGTTTCTGGATCCCCTTTGCACCCACTGCCAAACAAAGTGTCCTGCAAACAGTGAAAGTCCCTGTTAGCTCACCGTGCTCGCTGGGCACTGTCATCCCACTCACCAACTAAACAGGTGTCCCCACTGCAGGGGAACAGTATATCACAAGCTCATCAGCAGGCAGTTGTTTAGCAAACAGCCAAAAAGAATATGGACACAGAGGGGTCAGACTCCTGGGATTTGTGTGTTTTATAACACAACTAACTAGATAATTTTCTTGATTGCCTTTTTTTATCAGTGCCTTAACTTCAGAAATAGTTAAGCATATTGTTATTTATAAGTAAAATACCATGATCATAAAAAAAATTAATAATGACAAATTAGATAAAAGCCATCAGGTGTGAAATGTGTGCTTCACAAAATCAGAAGTGCTAAATACTTTAAACAACATAGGAAAGATATTTTAAGGCTTCAGGGGAGCTTTTTTCCTCCATCGGTTTTATAGGATTATTTTGGCACACTTTCAAGTGATGACTAAAGTAAATCTTCCTGCCAGCATACAATTTCCTGGCAAATTAATTATTGTTCTTGTTGATCATAGGTGAGGTAGGTAGGAATGTCTATTTTTAATTTTCCTGGAATTTCAATTTTTATGACCCTGTTTTCCACTTATTATTTTGCCAAGTTTAAAATATTTGGGATGAAGTAGACTGTATCTTGCTAAATACTTGAGAAAGAGTCAATTAAACTCCTCAAACACTTTATCAGAATGTGGTATGGAGGGAAAATTAGTGTTTTCCAGCATTACAAAAAAAGGGGGAAAAAATCTCTTGAAGATTTTGACATCTTCAGAGGCATGAATGTCTTCCTTTTCAGTTTCCCAAGGTAATCACCTTGATATCCATAATATATTTTTTATTGCTCAGTTGATACCATCTAAGTATAAGGACTGAAAAAATTTCTCTAAATATATTCAGACACGTTTCAGAATTCTACATCTAAATTCTGAAATCGTCAATTGCATTGAACACCTGTTACTTTTGGATTGACCTGTTCTTATACCTTTCTCTGAGAGTGAGCACTTGCTATCCCAGTAATTCAAGCAGTGAGAAAGATTTTCCTTAAATCATTCATCTTGACTGGGCCATTTAAGTTGGGAATTTTGTGGTGTCTTTTTAGTGCTTTTTATGTTTCCCTACTAACATCCAGAGACAAAAAAAGAGAATGAAAAAAGAAATCTTAAATAAATCCAAGGAGTAAGAAGGAAGAGAGACAGGTGTTACATCATTCAGAAATTTGACAGGAGGACTGAATTTTACATTCACTGAATATTGTTTTCTATTGCATGTCTGCATCATTTTATATTTTAACTTTGGTACAGAAGAATAGTGAAGCGTGGTTTAAATCATATATTTCCAGAAAGGTTGCTGAAAATACTTCTTTGCTTTAAACAATAAAGCAAATTAAAAAAACAAACAAAAAAAGTCCTTATTCAGTGTGTTTTAGGCTGAGGTCTCCTATTTCCCTGGGAAAACCTAACATGAAATGCAGATTTGATGTGTGTATTTATTTATTTACTTATGTTTTCATTACTTAAATTAAAAGAATACATGCTGTATATCTTTGATTTGTCATAAACATAGGGTCTATACATTGTGCACACACAAATACTTGTAACTTCTTCACAAAAGGATGTGTAAAGCAGAAAATATGTTATCCTTTATTTAGTGTTTCCAGCAATGTTAAGATTCTTTTAGATAAGTCAAGTAAAGTGATGTGTAGCTTCTACAACCTTCAACCTAATCTGATCAGTGTAATATTAGGAACATTAATCAAGAAGAAATCTTAAAAGAAAAATATATTTTTTTCCTCTTCTATAGTAAATAATGTATGGACTCCTCTCCAGATGGTATCAAGTAAAGCACTTTTGGCGATCTTCTAAATTACATAATTCGAAACTACTGTTTTGTGCAGAGTATGAATTCTGTCCTTGACAGACTATAACTCATGAATTCTTTGCTGTGAAGGAAAACAGAATACAGATAAGGAAACCATTATTCTGTTTCCCTAGGTTATCTCAAAGGGAACATACAGTTTAATGAAGTTTGAAATGATTTGGCCTTGATAATGATTATTATGGGACTCCAAGATTTATAAGGTTAAACAATATTTTCAGCATTAGAGTTTAAAAGGGTTAAAACTGAATGAAAGTTCCTTTCTGAGATTATCTATAAAAAATGGTACAATTAAAGCACTATGGAATGTTAGATGACAATGTAGTGCCTCAAACTTTCATATCAGTCAGACCAGAATGTTCTTTTTTCCCTCCTTTATCACATATATCATGAAAATACACTGCATCAACTACACAT